ATCTTTGGATTTTGGAACCTTCCAAAACGTTCTTTGCTTCCGCACCTCCCAAATTCCAACTTCCAGAAGCGCCTGCTTTTCAGCAAGAATTTTCACTTTTAGTCGATTTTACGCTACTGCCGTAACAAAACAGAGGCAGATGGCCGAGATGCCTCTGCTTCACCATAGACTAGCTCTGTCCCTCCACCACCATCACCATCTCCTCCTCCTCCCGCCGCCCACCACCACCACCAAAAGACTATCCCAAAGAATCCTCAAAATCACCATGTCCACGGCAGCTTCATCACACTCTCCATCCACCCACCAACACTCGTTAGACCAACAACAACAGCAACAAAAAGATCAAGTCTTGAGGTACCATAACCAAACAAAACACAACTTCAACAACTATGCCCGTGGCCCTTATGGCCTTGACTGGGCCAACCAACCCAACCCTTTTCGCCGTTACGTATCTTCCCCACTCCTCCCTCTTCTGCACCCTCCCTCACCCAATTCTCCCGCTACCACCCGGGACGGCTCTCCTCCTCCTCTGTATCACACGGTTTTCAATTCTTTACCGTCCCCAAAACCCATTTCCAAAACCACCATTTCTCAACTCTTTTATGATTCTTTAGCCTTATCAGCCTGGAAAACTACTGGCTTCTCCACTTGGTCCCTCAGGGTTAATCCCAGCAGTGGGAATCTTCACCCTACTGAGGCTTACATCATTGCACCACCAATTGATTCTCTGATTGATCACTCATTTGTCGCTCATTATGCTCCGAAAGAGCATGGTTTGGAAATTAGAACCGAAATTCCATCTGGGTTTTTCCCAAAAAATTTCCCCAAGAACTGTTTTCTTATTGGATTTTCCTCTATTTTCTGGAGGGAAGCTTGGAAGTATGGTGAGAGGGCCTTTAGATATTGTAATCATGACGTCGGGCATGCCATTGCCGCGGTTTCGATGGCCGCGGCAGGTCTTGGGTGGGAAGTTAAGGTTTTGGATGGTTTGGGCCATGATGAACTAGAGAAACTAATGGGACTTGATGTTTTTCCCGAGTTCAAAATCCCGTCCAGGCCGGTCAAGGGGAAGATGCCTGAGATTGAGTTTGAGCATCCTGATTGTGTGCTTCTGGTTTTTCCTAGTGGCACAAGTGATTTTGGCGTTGACTATAAGGGGTTGAGTTTAGCTATATCCCAGTTTTCAACATTGGAGTGGAAAGGGAAACCGAATTTGCTTAGTAAAGAGCATGTGTGTTGGGATATTATTTATAGGACCGCCGAGGCAACAAAAAAGCCTTTAAACATATTCAATCAATTCATAGTTGCTCCGTTTCTGGGCAGTGGAGACATTAGTGAGAGTTCTTATAAAGGTTTTAGTTTGAGGGAAATGGTTAGAAAGAGGAGGAGTGCAGTAGATATGGATGGTTCTACCACAATGGCAAGAGAGACCTTTTATCAGATTTTGCTGCATTGTATGCCTTCGGGTTTTGGGAGTGGAGAAAAGCAAAGGAAACAGTTAGCATTGCCATTTAGGACGCTTTCATGGGATTGTGAAGTGCATGCTGCCCTTTTTGTTCATAGAGTTGTAGGATTGCCCAAGGGGTTGTATTTTTTGGTGAGAAATGAAGAGCATTTGGATGATTTAAGGAAATCTACAAGGTCTGAATTTAAGTGGACCAAACCAGATGGTTGTCCGGATGAGCTTCCTTTGTATGAACTCGCAAAGGGTGACTGTCGGGAGCTATCAAAACGCCTATCCTGTCATCAGGTGTGTATGTTGACGACATTCCTGATGGCATTACTACTGAGCTCTTGACTACTATCTGCAATTCATTGTGGGATACTTGTTATTTGTGTGTTGTTTAATGTCCATTTCTAAATTGTAAGTGTCGTAGTTTTACTTCGGAGGGAATTTATCTGCAAGGTAGAAGATTATATCCAAGCATAAAAGTAAGGAACATGCGAGTCATGGAGAGAACCATCTAGTGCCACATACTAGTTTTTTATGATATGTTTCGAAAAGTAAATAGAAAATTAGTTTCAGATGGACTAAAAGTAAAGCAATAAACTTAATTTGGAGCAAAGGGACCGAGTATCTTCTAAATGCACCTGGCGTCAAATTTCTGAATTACTAAGTCTGGAGTGTGCTTCACAAGTTCCTACTTAGATCAGTAAGCATAGGCATTCGGCCTTCTTTTTGGTTCATGCTGGGAAACGTGTTTCTAATTATCAAATAATCATGAGAAAAAGAGAGTTCTCCTTTAAACTTTGATGCAGGATGAAGATGTGTTCAGTTATTTTTCCTCACTTTATACCCTGCACACTTCTGTACTGAATATCGCTAATTATGACTAACATTTTAATTGACATTGGAGCTTGTTTCTATTTGCAAATCATGAGGATGATGAGGAGTTTGGTTGCATTTTATGTTTCTTTATTAGGTGTTTGACAATATTGGAGTGCAAACTATAGGTGGATCTGCAATACGTTATTTTTTTTCAGTGGCACATGCCCTTTTGGACATTCACCTTGCATCTTTTCTTTTTTATGGCACTGGAAAATGTTATCATAGAAAAGTTACAGTAAATGTTCAGCACAGTTAGTAATTTTGACAAAGGTTTTCAGCATTAATTGTCATAGCAATAAGACTATATGGCTTTGTGAATTCTATAATAGATAACAATTTGACTTCTTCCCAGACACATTGAATATAAGCTGCCCCACGGAGATTATGTTTTGGCATAACTGCTACTTTGACTCTGCGCCACAAGCAGTGGCTGTAAATTTAGTTGTTTATGTTTCTGTAAAGCAGGAAGGTTGAGATAGACTGCTTGTGTTAGAATTTTGGGGCTACTTGCATAGAGTCGACTTATCATCCTGATTCAGAGGATCTATTCAATGGACTTCTCAAACATGACTATCTAATTATATCTAATTACAGGACATTGCCAGTGATGGTTGCTTCAGTCTGGGTATGGTGGCTCATTTGGAGCCTACCTTGCATGAAAAAGGTTCATGGATGTATCCTCGGTTATTTTGGGAGACGGGGGTCCTTGGCCAGGTCTTGTACCTTGAAGCCCATGCAGTTGGGATCTCTGCTACTGGAATTGGTTGCTTTTTTGATGACCCTGGTATAATTGTCTCTTTGACATCATGTTTCATTTGGATGGTCTACTTCGTTTTGTGTGTGTGCATGTTTGTTATGCATCCTCTCATTCAAAAGTTCCATTTCCGAGATCATGCCATCTGTAATGGATGAGCTTCTTAAAATCCGAGTTAACACATCACTGAACCATAAATCAGGGATCCATATATGGGATAGTTTGTAATTGTATCCGAACTGCAGAATTTGTAAAGGCAAAATGCTCTATTTTTGTATTTAGTCCAATTTCATCTATGAGGTATCAGCTTTATATCTTGAGCACCCTACCTATGGACACAAGAAAATCCACGATTCATAATTTCCTCCCTTTATTTTTGACAAAAGGAACTTCACTCTTTCCTTGATGTCCCATTGCCTGTAAGTTCTAAACCTTTCCTCGACTTCTTGTACCCAAGTTTCTGATACCCCGGTACTCTACCAAATGTCATTAATGGTTGCTTACTCTTAAAGTGTCATCTTGGGGCATTACATGTCTCTCCTCTCGCTCTTAAATTTTCCAGCAGAGGAGGGTGGGACTCAAGAAGCTTTTTTGTGTTTTTTTTTTGGGTTTTTTTTTTTTTTTTTGGGGGGGGGGGGGGTCGTCTGAACCCACGACCTTTAATTCCTGGAGTTTCAAGCTTAGCCACTAGACCAATGCCTCGTCAACCACCTCTCATCTCTCGGCCACGAACTCTGCTAAATTACATTACTGAGATTATGAGAAAATGTTGGTCTGGTTAGCTAATGTTTTAACCTTCATGTTAGGCTTTTCTTATTGAGGGTGATTTATTTCCTTTGATTGTCCTTGGCCAGATTAGTATGCTAGATTTATTTGAAATAGGTTCGAATTTTGGGAAGAAGGAATGGTTTATCTTGGGATGTTTCTTTGACGCTGTTTTGTTTCATTTATGTCAGTACATGAAGTTCTTGGGGTACGAGGATCGAAGTATCAAAGCCTTTATCATTTTACAGTTGGAGGCCCAGTTATTGACAAGCGTATAATGAGTTTACCAGCATATCCTGGCCCAGGCGTTGACGCATGATGAGAGGAGATTAGAATGATACTCAGCTCACCCCTTTCTGCAAACCTTATACATACTACTGAGACAAAATCTGCATCAGGCAGTATTGTTGATTCTTTCCCTCTGTAGTTAAGCTATCATTCTCCTCGATTATTGTAAATGATGTAAATTTATAATGTGTCTGGTCAGTTTATTCACATAAACGAAGATGATCTGCAACAAGTCTTCTCCTACGAATTGTGGTTTGCTGCACGCATACTGAATTGTACTGGCGGAGATGGTTGCCTTGAGCTTCCCCAAAGGATGTCAAGATGGTTTGTGTATAGCAAGCAAATTGCAATAATTTTTGCCTTTGTGACTATCAGTACGTAAAAATTATGCAGGAAGCAGATTGCAATGAAACAAATAATGAGAAAGATACTTCCTTGGTACTTTGATACTTTAGAAGGGTTCGAAAGTCCACCTGATGCTTGGAGCTCGCATTGAAGTGTTAATCAGACTGGAAAATTTTTGAAGGAATACGGCTTAAATAAAATCCTTCCAAGTTACTGCTAACAATTCTGTTAAATGGATTAGCTTCAATTATTACAGCACAATATGCCAACAGGGAGAGTATTTAATGGAAAATTTCCCATGAGAAACCAAGGGATCTCCCAACGAACCTGACTTGGCCAGAAACGAGTTGGAGAAGACATCGCAAGTGGCTAGCTAGGAACACTCGACCTGTACGGGTTTATGACATTGCCGCCTCATAGGCTGGAGCTTTCACTGACATCGCACAATTGAAGAATTAAACCATTGCAGGACATTTATCATTGCCCGGTGCCTGGGGGTTTATTGCAGGGACGAGGACATGGTTAAACAATAATGATGAATTTATTGAAAAAAATCATAGTTTGTTGAACATAAAGAATTGCGGAGATCGAACGAGTTTTATTGTAATTGTATGTTCCAGAAAAGATCCTATCAGTATCAGCTCTGCTGCTGGAAATCATACGATTTACATATGGGATGAAAGCTGTACTAGCGTCATCTTGGTCTGTTACTGTTTCACCTCCATGCTGTGAGTATCAATGCCTAATCAAACAACTAGCTTGGAACTCGGCAGAGCTCATCTGCTTCTAGCTACCAAACTGTGGTCGCACCCTGCACGCGGCACTGAATGATTGTCTATAGTACACTTCAACAAGAAAAGAAGGATTTTGTCGTTATACACCTTTTTCATTTTATAGGCTTAGACTACCCTTTCTGCATGGAGGCTGAGGACGAATAGGTTAAGCTGTTGATAATACTCCTCAATTCCCATATCCCAGCCAAACTGGATTTGAAAGTTAAAAATTGCCTCCTTCCAAGGCTGACACAGGATAAATACTCATCTTTAAGACATTAAATCTCTACCACACACAGGACCTTGCATGTTGATTTGCAGAGGAAGTCACCAGCTAAAGAAAATCCATCAGTCTTGGCCCGAAAGAAAATTGCAGATGTGTGAATCATAATTGTCCCTGTCCTTTTATGCAGAAATCAGAATTTAACAAAAATCAGTGTTTTTTTTTTTAATTAAAAAAAAACAATTAAAATGATTACTTACCTCAGGTATGCCAAACTGATACTTCAGAGAAAAAACAGGCGAGATTCACATGTACGGCAAACTACATCGTCATTCTTCTGATTCGTGACTTCAACAATTCTGATTAAAATGTACTGTCTCGTTACTTGTAGATCTACACTTAAACACTGTCAGACAAGTTGTTCTACCACCAGGATTCAGCGCCTTCCATAATGAGGGCAGTTGGTTGCAAGCTATCTTCCCAAATATCTTCCTGATTATTCATTATGTTTGAGCATAACCAGTTCAATAGCCCTCATCAAGAATGACAACACCCAATGAGTGGAAATATGTCCAATTGTCAAGCGACTGGCTTCATAAAGAGTCTGATGTCTCCGATCTAGTACTTGAAGGAATCAAGAAAAAGACCAAGAGAAAGTCCAGCTTTCCAATAATTAAACATGATGATTAAGCCCCTCAACTTGCCAATCAAAGGCAGAGAAGCTTTATACATGAGAGCTCCAATTCCCTCCACTACAGCAACGGCTAATGCAGCAGATAGAATATCCCAGTCACCAGTTTGCCCAATAACAGTGGCAAAGGCGGTTGCACTGTAAAATCCCACCAAGAAGAAGAGTAACTTCATCGGGAAATTCTTCCTTAACTCCCTGATTCTTGTTTCTAACTTGGCCCGAATGGCTTGGATAGCCCTAACAAGTCGAGTTCCACTGCTGCTATCATCTGTAGGGGAAGAATTTAGCCTGTCACCATCTGCAGCGCTTCTAATAGACCACTCCCAACTCCTACATGATTAAAGTTGGAATTTTTAATTACATGCTAGAACTATGTAAATTCCTCATGGTATGATTAAAAGTACATACAACGTTTACCTAGTGACCTCATGCCAAAATGGAGCATTTTCTACTCGTTACATCAAGAGAGATGAAAGAATCTATATGCATGCCAAAATTTCAATATCTTTGAGGAGTCTAGCATGAAAGACATACATGCACACATCACAAAAGAATGTTCATACATTGTAAATGGCCAAGTCAGAAAGTAATAGTTATGTGCGGTTACAAAGAAACTCACATGAAATTGTTGAATACAGAAGGACGTGCCAGGTGAGAGAGAGGGAAATGACGATAGAGCATTCTGCCAAAAGAAAAAGCAGTTTTATTAACACGAAGACCAAGGTACACACCAGGTGGGCTTGATCTTGGGTCTTTAGGAGTAAGAATTGTGGAACTTGTAGGATAGCCAGTCGATGGTATTTTCCTGGCTATCATGGAGAACCTGCATGCCAAACCTAAAATGACCACATCAGTACGAAGATAATCATGAATAAGAACTGATGAATGGGATCGATCATTTCTAAAAGATTTCCTTTCCCACCTGATGATGGTAATAAGAAGAGAACAATTGAGATCATTTGCGATCAGAAACATGAAACTGACATTTCCGACTTAAATAAGAAACAAGACACTGACAAACGCTTGGAAAGTTTGACATAATAAATGCATTGTATCAGAAAAAGGTTGAAAATTGTCAAATTTTTAGGAGTAATGACTTCTTAAAGAACCATCTGCTGTATACATTACTGTTGTGCTCTCTTCTCCCTTATACTTCATATATAGATGAAATCAATGGATGCTATGTCAAAAAGATATTACAAAACTGAGATGCCATTTGACAAAGGATTTTTAGCTTCAAAACTTCTGCTATATACAATTCAGCAAGCAAGCAGATGAGACAAAGGATGGCAGCTAATCAATCAATAATCAGTTTCTCAAAACATAGGAATGCAAAACCAATGCTGAATCCTTAAAATTGCAAGTTGTTTCTGCAACATTCTTGGTAATTTTGGACATGCCTCAGGAACCTTCAGAAGATTGCGACTCATTCAACAGTTTATCACCAAAACCAAGTGAACTCAGTAGATGTCAATGGGCATGTCTTGCAATTAACTGGCTATTATTCCCTTTGAGATATAAAAATGAGAAACCTCTAAATACAGTCAGTTTGATTTGGGTTTTTTCTTCATTCCTCATACAAAATTTGCACGTTTTAATAGCCAAATTGGTTCTTACATCAACAACCGTGACATTAAGCAAGAATGACAGATGTTATGTAACTTCAGTTACCAAAATACACTAAGCACTCACAAATGGCTAAGTCATTCATCCTCTTCAAATCCGTATCATTCCCACACATCTTCCGGTAGCCTCCAGCAGAAAATTCAGATCCCACTCTTTCTGAGCACAAGAATTTACTCTCAAACTCCCTCAACATCACTCATCCACTTAAAAATTGAGGAATAAAAAACAGCATAAACCCATGAAGACTTACTTAAAATGCAACATCAATTTGTAAAAACCTGTTCTTTATTAAATTCTTGGATTTCTTCTTGTCTATCAATCAGTTAATGTTCCTCTACAAATACACGAGACACAGGCAGAACAATTCGAGACCAAACCGAAAAGTTGCATTGATATTAAGGAGCATATAAAGCGCCTAACTTTACACTAGCTTTTCAAAAACTTGGCCAGTCAAACATTGAACCGAATTGCAAAAGTCTTTATCTATTATCTGTCTTTAATTATAAGGTACAAAAGTTCAGACATTATAATTGCATGAAAAACTTACAGACTTTTCGGTGGGAAAGAATGGTATACAAACCTTCTGCCACTTGGGTTTTGGCTCCACTTTCTGTTTTCCTCTGTGGGATTTGATAAGAGAGGAGAGGAGCGGGGAAACTGAGAACTGAGAAGACCGCCAGACACCACCTCTGCATTTCTATTTCTTAAACATGCCCCCCACCCCCGTTCCTCATCTTAGATTTATTCATATTATTTAAAGCGCCCTTTACATTTTAGAAATTCATCACTTCCCCCTGAAAGTTACTGAACTGAACTTCTGTATATGGCATTTGAAATTTTAATTTCAGCACTCTTAAGTCTCAAACTGGAACTAATTTTCATTATCATAATTGAGTGTCTGTCAATTTGCTCAAAATATACTGATCGGACATCAATTGATTCGTACATATTAATTTTGTATTTTTGAATAATGTGGTAAGCATTAATTAAATTTTTTACTTAATCTTGAATTCATCATAAATAGACTAGGATTTATTAATTGAATTAAATTATATATTAGTAGACACCGATAAACTTCAAATTTCAACTCTTAGTCCTAATCTAGCACGAGTTTGATCCTGGAGTTAGAATTTTTAACTTTTTTTCTTTTTTAGAATCTATAAACCACAATAAGTAATCAAATCAATATCAAAGTAAAAATATGGAGCATTAAATTTAGTGGATTAACGAATTTGCCCTTCTTTATCATTTTTCTTCATTTATTTCTTTTTCCTTTTTAGTTTTTATCGTCAATTGACAACTAATCTTTCTTGACTTTTTTTACAATTGTATTTATAAATGAGCTTTTCTATTTAACCCTATTTTCATTCTATTATAAAATTTAACATGTTAATTTGATTTTTAAGAATCAATTCATCATCATGTGTTCATTTAATTTGAATACTTGATTAAATGGGCCTTAATCTAAAGGTGATGTATTTTCATTGTATATGTACTTTTATTGAACAAAATCCAAAGAAATAGAAAGATCAAAATAAAATAATTTAATCTATTTCCTTTTTAAGACATTGAAAAGAAAATCTTAGTAAACGAAATCAGTATCATGAGAAACAAAAAAAGAAAAAAGCAGAAATTGACATTTTAGTTACAACATAAACATTTTCTACTAACCAATAAATCATATTCTGAAAGTTTAACTTATTATATGTGATGAATCAATTATTTCATATGAAAATAACATTAACTAATAAAATTGATTATTATGATTTGGGAAAAATATACAGAGTACTCCAAATGTACAAAAAAAAAAAGATAGGAGAGAATGTAGCGACATGACAAAATTGAGAAGGCAAAACAAAACGAAAAAGGAACTCAGCTAGTCCAAGAACCAAATCTTAATGGTAAATAAGACTATTTGTCATGCTTTGATCATGAAAAGTTAATCAATAACTGACCCATTAATTTTAGGGGCAAGCTGATGATAAAATAATGTCAGAGAGGCAAAGCACAAATTACCCTAATTGTGAGGAGTTTTGTGCAATTGAACTTTAAGCGAATAATTTTAGAAAACCGAAAAGAAACAGGCGTGAAAGGAAAGTAGCTTTGCTCCGTTGATTGCTCCTGGGCTGTCTGGTGGGGTTTAATTTGTGATAACTTCTAGAACAACTCACAGATCAACGCCCTCGATTCCGCCTGTGTTTCTGCCCCTCTTCACTCAGCCAGCGGTGCATATCCGATCAGGTACTCGCACCGCTTTCTTCCTCTCCGTCAGTTTCTCTGCTCTACTGTTATGATAAATGATGCATCGTTTTTTATGTTTATGTCAAGTATAGCGAACAAGTTCAGTGTAAAATTGAGTTGATATGCGACTATATTGACAAATTGTGGAATTATGGAATTGAAAATGTGAATCGAAGGCTTTTATTTTTACTTTATTTTTAATTTCAGTGAGAAATTTTGATAGGATAGCTGAATGGTTCAGTGGAAATGAATACATTTGACAAAGTAATTATTCAAGAATTTGTGTGAATCATAACATTCAGCTGATAATGGTACAAAATGCTATCATGATATTTGAACGGGCTTGATGTGGATTTATCTTAAAGTCGCTTGGGAGTGATTGAAAGGGTAAAGAGTTTCAAATAGTTGTGCTTGCAGCTTTACTGTACATTTATGTGGATATAGTTTCTGAGGTGTGCTAACTAGTCTAAAAGGTAAAGGCTGCTTTTTTTTTTTTTTCAATCGTGGACATTGTTTTGGGCTATCACCAAATTTATTTTTAGGGCTATTACAAAATTGCTTTAAATAGAAGAATTAATGTTCTAGCAGGTGTCCTTTAACACTTTAAACCTTATTTATATGATTCAGAAGAAACCTACTAGAAGGATTAGTGGATTTATTTATAATAAATAAAAACAGGAATGATTTGTCAATCATGCAAAGGGACAATTCAATGGCTGAAACTTGAGGTGACATCAATTGATGCGCATATTAAGAACAAAAGAAGAGGGAGAGGTGGAAAAGTATGATGTCAACTTTGACATGTTTGGAAACTTAGATTGGAGGATTTTTACCCTTGTTTTTGAGAGAATTTATGGGGAGATTTTTGTTTTGGAAGCACTTAAAGTTCATAGAAAATTATGCTTAGCTATTCAGCACAAGTTTAATGATATTGTCATGCAGTGAACCCAAGTCAGGGCTGCAAAAAAGGAGAAAAAAAAAAGGTTGGAAACTTTAGCTTTTGGCATCTTCCAAAACAATTTTGACACAATTCCTGTCCTGGTTTTCTTCTGCAATTTTTTGGAAAATGGAGTTCTTTCCGAGTCAAATGAGGAATTTTGAGAACAAACTTAAAATACACTGTTTACTCTCGCAGTCTAACGTCTTTCATTCAAGTAAACCAGAGAGGACAAGTTACCCAAGAATGTCAGATTTAGAGAGGGCAAAGAAAGAGAGAGATAGAGAGAATGAGAGTTGAGGATTGCCAAAAACAGTTGAATGAAACACTTCTGTTGACTTACCTTTTCCATCTAGTCATTACTTCTCCTCACTAGAGGAGAAATGGAAGGACAACATGATGAGGTCTGGGCTTCATTAGTGGCAAGATGGAATTTCCTAGGTGAGAAACTGATTTATGTCAAGATTAATCGCACATGAATGGGGCTGTAGAATGTTGGCTTAGAACCTCATCAGATGTGAACCAATGAAGCTTGTAAATGACCTCATAATGTTGTCCTTCCATCTTGTTTGTGATTTTAAGCTTTCATGCACATTCTGCATTATGAGGCTTTTGCAATTCTAGAAAATGAATCATGTCTTTTGCACCTTAATACAAAATTGTTTTGCAATTTGTCTGCCTTTGCGAGAGAAGGGAACTTACTTTATGTTGGTTTCATGCTTTTACTCCTTGGTGGCATCTTGCATCTGAATTTTTTGTAAGACAGTTGTCTGAAATGGTTCCCCTCCCCCTGTCCCCAAAAGGGAAAAAGAAACAGAAGCCCTTCCATTACAAAAAACCATTTAAGGGCTGTGGGTACCATCAATTTTGTAACTGATGTAATTGTCAGTTTTGGCACAGATCATGAGACCAACAATGTTCATGCATACGCTTGCAGTGAATCAAAGTATATTTCTCTCATCTCTTTTTTGCCTGATAAGCTGGATTGGTGGTTTTCATTGTACTGTAGGAAAACGTATTGCAACCTGTGGAATTTGGCAAAGAAGCTCATTTTTTAGTTCTCTATCAAGGAGAAAGTTTATTATGCTTTCAAAGCAGATCCAACTGCAGGTACGTGATCTTTATAGGTGTGCTTTTGCATGAGAGACTCATTTAATCACTCCAATGTCTGCTTATTCTTATTGGGAAATAAAGTATTTTTCAGGAATGGTCTAGCACAGCATCTGCAATAGTAGTCTGTGTTAAAAAGAATATATTTTGTTATCACAATTTTGTTATAGTAGAGGATGGATGACATTTTGGCCTTAAAAAAAGGAACAGAAAAGGAAAAGAATGGAATAATTGTGATCTTGACCATCGTGAACAGTTCTGTTGTTTATCAATGTTTAAAAAAGTGTTGTCTTTTCTGTGTCCTGTTCTTATCAGGTATTTCTGAGACTGCATATTTTCCCTCTTCATTAGCTTTATGTATTAATGACTGGATGTCATCATTGATTTTCTCTTTGCAGGCAGATTTTGCTGCTACAACTTTTTCTTAGGTGAAGAGTTCTTGAATTTAGTTCCTGTTGGAGATAGATATGCAACCCACAGGTGGTAAAGATACCCAACTTCGTGATAACAATAGCCAGAAGGTCCATCCACAACCCATGGAAGAGGCCATAAATCAAAATCCTGAAGCATTGGAAGCACTAATTTCTAGGATTTTTACAAACATTTCCTCCCTGAAGTCGGCCTACATTCAGCTTCAAACTGCTCATACTCCCTATGACCCCGATAAAATTCAAGCTGCTGATAAACTTGTGATTTCAGAGCTGAAGAATCTCTCTGAACTCAAGCACTTTTACAGGGAGCATAATCCAAAACCTGTTTGTGTCTCTCCACAGGACTCTCGCTTGGCCGCAGAGATCCAGGAGCAGCAGAGTCTATTGAAAACTTATGAGGTTATGGTGAAGAAATTTCAGTCTGAAATTCAGAATAAGGACTCTGAAATAAATCAATTGCAGCAGCAGATCCAGGAGGCAAATCAGAAGCGAGTAAAACTGGAAAAGAATCTCAAGCTGAGAGGCTTGTCAGCCAAAGAATCAGAAGGCTCAGGTGATGAAAATGGTGTCTTTTCTATGGATTTGACCCCTGACCTTATCAAGTCAGCTGTGGAAGCTGCTTATAAAGCCATTCATGATTTCTCTAAGCCGCTAATCAACATGATGAAAGCTGCTGGGTGGGATCTTGATGCAGCTGCAAATTCCATAGAGCCTGATGTTGTTTATGCTAAGAGAGCTCACAAAAAATATGCATTTGAAGCCCATATTTGCCAACGAATGTTCAGTGGTTTTCAGGAAGAAAGCTTTTCTCTGAAACTTGACAATGTGACCATGGATAAAGGAAGTTTTTTCAACCAATATCTTGCCTTACGTGATATGGATCCTCTGGATGCTGTTGGGCAAAGCCCAGATTCCCCTTTTGGAAAGTTTTGTCGGAGCAAGTACCTGGTGGTGGTTCATCCAAAGATGGAGGCTTCATTTTTTGGCAACC